TAAGATAATCTGCTAAAATGTTACAAATGAGAATTAAAATGAATTTACAATGTATTTTGATTGATAAGGTTTTATGCAAGTGCTCTGTTTTAACAAATTGTCACAAAATGTCGGAATGTTAAATTTTATGGTGAAAATGTAAAATAAATTTTCAATTGATGTTTGTTGAACAGGTAATATACGTGTAAAATGACAGAAGATCGTGAATGGATGTATAAGCGTATAAGTCGCACTTCAGGTAATATAAATTTAGAATTCGTAGAAGGTGTGAAGACATTTTTGGATTATGCTTTTACAATAGCTCAATGCAAAGGAGAAAGCATGGTAAAATGTCCTTGTAAAAAATGCAAGTTAAGAAAGTACTTTGATAGGAGCACAATTGAAACACATCTATGTACCAACGGGTTTAGAGAAAACTATTATATATGGGATTGTCATGGTGAAGAGCGTCCAATAAATCCTATTATTTATCGAGGGTACGCTTCTAATAACATGGTTTCCATTGAAAATGCATCACCTAGTGATACTTATATTGAACAGAATCACTTAGGATGCACACAAATGGTTAGGGATGTTATGTATCCATTCTCCATTGGATCTCCACATGAGGAGAATGCTTTTAATGCCCATAGATTTGATGATGATGAAGATCATACTGATTTTGATACTAATGAGATGATTGTTGAAAACCCAAATAAAAATGCACAAGAGTTTTACAAACTCCTAGAAGATGCATCTGCTCCTTTGTACGATGGTTGCACTAACCATAGTAGACTATCAGTGGTGACTGAACTTTTAAGTGTTAAGAGTCAGTATAATATGTCTGATGCATGTTATGACAAAGTAGCCTCAATTGTTGAACGTATTGTTCCTGGTGACAATAAATTGCCAAAGAGCTTATATCAGTCCAAAAAGATGATCCATGGCTTAGGGCTCCCGTATTTCAAAATAGATGCATGTGAAAATAATTGCATGTTATTTGATGGTGATGATAAAGATCTGGTGTATTGCAAAAGTTGCGGTATGTGTAGGTACAATGAGGACTCAATGGATAGGGGAGGAAAAAAGAAACCGGTGTCAAAAAAAGTGTTGCGATATTTGCCAATAATAGAGCGACTCAAGCGCATGTACATGTCATCCAAAACATCTGAAATTATGACTTGGCATACAAGAGGTGCTACAACTGCTGGTAGTTCTATATCACATCCATGTCAATCAGAGGCATGGAAGCATGTTGATCAAACATTCCCGAACTTTGCATTGGAGCCTAGAAATGTGCGTTTGGGTTTATGTACGGATGGATTTAATCCGAATTCTGATTTCAGCAACCCATACTCGATTTGGCCTGTATTCATCGCTGTGTACAATTTACCTCCCGAACTTTGCATGAAAGAGCCGTATATATTTATGGCTATGTTGATACCTGGACCTCGCTCCCCCGGAAGGAACACCGACGTCTTCTTAAGACCACTTGTCGATGAGCTAAAGATGTTATGGGATGTTGGAGTTGAAACGTGGGATGCTTTCAGAAAACAGAATTTCATGATGAGGGCCTGTCTTCTATGGACCATTAGTGATTTTCCAGCATATGGAATGTTATCGGGGTGGAGCACTCATGGCAGATTAGCATGTCCGTATTGTTTGGGTGAAGGAGTTGCCCAACAACTTAAATTTGGAAAAAAACCTTGTTGGTGGGGTTGCCATAGGAGGTTTCTTGGACATCAACATGGATTTCGTCGTGATGCAAAATCCTGGGGAGTATTTGGAGTTGAACATCGTATACCTTGTCCAATAGTTTCAGGTATTGAAATTTTGAGAAGCATTGAGACTATTACTTTTCCACCATTTGGGTCACAATATGATAACTTGCGTGCGGATGGTTTTGGTAGATCACACAATTGGATTAAAAAATCTATTTTTTGGGATCTGCCATATTGGAAGTATTTGCTCGTTCGACATAATCTTGACGTGATGCATATAGAGAAGAATTGTTTCGACAATGTTTTCAACACAGTTATGGATGTGAAGGGAAAAACTAAGGACAATTCTAATTCAAGACGTGATATGGAGCTCATGAACATTCAGAGTGAGTTGCGCTTGTATCAGCGTAATATGATCACATATCAACCAAAAGCAAGCTATGTGCTAGATAGATCGGACGTTATCAACATTTGCACTTGGTTGAAGCAAGAAGTGAAACTCCCTGATGCTTATTCGTCGAACATTGGGCATTGTGTTAACACAACTAACAACACATTTTATAGCATGAAGAGTCATGATTGTCATGTGTTTATGCAACGTCTACTTCCGATTGCATTACGTGGTTATCTTCGATCACCTATATGGGTTGCAATATCTGAGTTCTGTAAGTTTTTCAGACTTATATGTGCAAAGGAACTATGCATTGCAGACATTGAGAAATTGCAAGATGCAATTGCTGTGACACTGTGTAAGCTAGAAAAGATATTTCCTCCTAGTTTTTTTGAAAGATGCAATAATCTAAACTAATTCATGTGAAGTAATTACATAGAATTACTCAGTTGTGCCTCTTTGATTAATTTAGTTCCTAAAATTTTAGATGCATCCCCCTCAATATCAAAATTAGGATTAATTAAGATTTTAGTTTAAATTTGAAAGCCATGAAACCGAAATTGTAGATTTGGGCAAATCATACCTTTATAAATTCTCTTAAGTGATATCTTTCAGAAGAGATTCGGCTAGCATCGGTCGACAATGCTTGTGACGTTAATCGAACTTTGAGCCGCTTTGGGGAGGATAGTTTGCTGTAGGTTGATGGACATTGGAGAGATTGTTATGGGAGGATGAATCGGGAGATTATGTTTACCGATGGCTGATGGGAGATTTTCGAAAGGTCTAGAGGCCGAAGAGTATTGAGGCTTCTGGAGTTGCTGAAAGGTGATCTCCCCTATCCTAAGTGAAACTACGTTTCATTATTGGGCTGTCTGTTTGTGAGGCCGAAAAGAACCAACCCTAATATCCAGCAGCCCAATTTTGTTTTGTTTTAATTAAAGAATCAAAATTATGTGTCTACAAATTTTAAATGGGTTGATCGATCTTTCAAACAAAAGGTTGTTCGATCTCATAGTGTTATTGATAGATATTTTATGCAATTAAAGGGTATATATTTTAATAATAAAGAAATATATATCAAGAATGATTAAAATATTTTTCTTAATAGGTCTCAACCATCAAACTAACTCCAACCTTACTACATACAGAATATATGATAAACAAATGTTTATGATATATGGAGAATAATAAACTTAAATTGTTATATCAGTATTTTAAGAGGTTTTATTGAAGTACATTTAGTACCATCTCCAATCCAATATTGTGTTCCCATTTTGACGTGAGACGCTTACTCGTAGAGAGTGTATTTGTGTGTTTGTACGTGATGTATAAAAGAAGAGAAATATTTTCACTAAATACAAAACTAATGTATTGATAGAATTATCTTAATCTTAATGTTAAGTAATAATGACATCATATCAGGAATTTTCAAACTAATAACAAGTCAATATGAGTTTATATGTGTCTGTGGGGGACATGTTTCTTCATCCGCGATCTTTTTTTGGACGTGCTCACATTTTTAACACACTATATGCTCTTTTATAATGTCTACATCTTTAAATTGGGATATGTTTCGACTCTGTGGCTTTCTTCTTAATAGTGTTACAATGATGTCACGAATCGCAATGTGTTTGACCTTTCATTTGTAGCTTGAATAGATGTCACAAATGATAGTCTTATATTTTTTTCTGTAAACTCTTTTAACTTAATTTTAATTTTTTTTCTTTGTTTTAATCTAAATATTTTTTTGAAGGAGATCTAAAACACATGTCTTCCCGTTAATTGAATTATATATTTGTCCGTGCATCGCACGAGTGAAAATCTAGTATGTACAAATGGAGTTACGATGTACTTATGATGGGCTATGGGTCTCGGTTTTTTTTGAATGCATGGATCCGAGATTGATAGACACGATGCGTGTACTGTACACATTAGTTGTACATGACCTTTACACACTGCTTTTTTCATTTTGCTAGAAGGATAGTTTTTCGCACATACTTCCCTCATCTCTTTTTTGTAGTAACAGTCAACATTTAATGTTTGTCAACGCACAACTTTGATCGTCATTACATTTAATTCGATATTAGTAAAAAATAAAATAAAAATTAGATTATAAAACTTAGTAATGAGACGAATTTAACAATATTTTTCAAAAAAAATAATTCACATACATTAATAAATAAAATGTAGTCAAAGTAAAATACATGAATAGTGTATATATTCCAATGTTGCAATTAATGTGATACGGAGGATAGTACAATTTTGTTGTGTGTGACACATATAATTTGTTTGTTAGTGTGAAAAATGTTTTTTTTTTTAACAAAACAAAAAAAATTGTCTGTACGCAAACAATTTGACCGGCGTGTAAAATACCGTGTATAATTTGGTGTGTACAAAAATCATTTTCCCTGACAGATATGCACATAATAAGGATTGTTTTATTGAGGCGAACCTCTGGCCGGTCGAGCTCGTTTGAGGGCCTTCTTGATAGAATTTTTTGATGAAATTTTGTGAACATGTTGTTCATCAAGTGTAGTTCATGCTCACAAAATTTCAACTTAAAATTCGACCATAAAGACAGTTAAATAAATTATTGAAACATATTGCGTTTTATATACTTCTCGGACGACGGTTTCTGTGCGGTCCGCATGAGAAGATCTAGTGTCTCCACATAATTACATGACAATGAATTCTAAATTATACTCAAGTTTGTGTTACTCCCTCCTCCCTCCGTCTATAATTGAATCATTTTTCATTTTTGGATGTCCCTATATTATTATCTCATACCATATTTGTTAACATTGTGTAACTCTAATTCATTTTCACTTTATTTTCATTTTATCAAATCATTATGAATCACTTAATTATACTTTTCATAAAAACAAATCACTCCCTTCCTTCCGAATGAAGTCATGAACCACTTAGGTTCAAACCTTTCAAACCCAAAAGCACAATAGCATTCGAGTTTTGACTCGAACCTGCTCGGCTGCTTGCCTGCTTCCTATGCATTGCTACCCCTAAAACTAAAAAACTGTACGATTCGGTTGCCGACACAACTTTGGCGCAGCGATGGCGTACACTAACAGCGGAGACGTTCTAATGCTTGAGGCGCCGCCCGGGGCCCAGCCGGCTCGGCCCAGCGGCTCAGAACTAATCGACGCTTTGCCGTATATCGACGACGACTATGGCGATCCGAATGTAAAAGCCGAGGTAGACCGTTTAGTCGAGGAAGAGATGCGCCGCAGCACCAAAAAGCCCTCCGACTTTCTCAAGGACCTCCCTCCTCTTCCCAAGTTCAAATTTGAGGTATACTCATCGCAATTTTTTTTTGAGGTATACGTGTACACTTACACGCAGCAGCAGCCTTAACGATAACCAATTCCCTTTTCTAAGGGGTTTGAGCTGTAAATTCTGGGTTTGCATTTCAAAATTTGACATCCATGTGGTTGAATTTGGAGGTTGAATGATAGCTCTATTTTTAATGCTATTTCCAGAATCATCCAATGCTAGCAAGAGAATATGAACGTGTTAGAGCTGGGAAGCCTCCTGTGCAAATTGACACGTCAAGATATGGACTTGAAGTGCCGCAGGGAAATAAACGGAATGATGAATCAACCTGGAAACAAGCTCTTCAGAAAGCTCAGCGCTTATTACAGCATCAAGTGATTAGGTATCATTCATGCTCATCAGCTGTTTGAGTAATTGCATTATGCTGATTTGTATTCCCTAATGGGGATCTGGGAGAAGCAGTCAGGTAATTTAATAATTTATACATTCAGGAAACCCCACAACAACAAGGCTTAGTCTCAGATGAGTTTGAGCTCGGCTAACATATTTGTAACATCGGTTATGCAAATGAATTTGCATAAATTATTAAATTACCTGACTGCATAACCGATGTTACAAATATGTTCCAAAAAATATTTCCCACCCTCCGTCTCAAAAAATACTTCCCACTTTCCTTTTTGGCCGTTCCAAAAAATATTTCCCTCTCCCTTTTTGGACAATTTGTGTGGCTCACGTTCATTTTACCTTTTTGTTACACAACTACAACCATACATTTCCACTTTATTCCACTTTCTTAATAAGCGTGCCCAGTCAAACGGGGAAGTATTTTTTGGGAAGGAGGTAGTAGTAAATAGTGCTCCCTCTGCTTAAGCTTTTCACTTGCCTTTTTGGACATCTCAGCTAAAGCTTCTCATAACAAGTGCTAGTATTAGGATCCTCATTTCTACTCATAACAAGTGCTTCTCTAAAATCAATATAGATTCAAGCAAATTTACAGTTAAGGAGGTAATGGATATCTACCCATACTCATATACAGTGACTCACTGTTCCCTTTCCAGGTTACTCACTGAGTGATATACATTATTTGAGCTGGCCATAGTGAGTCTCAAAGTGAGGATAAGTAATTTTGTGGATCCTCCAAGTCCCAAAATGCCAAACTATTGAATCTCAACGATAGCACCACCATTTATTTTTGAAACCATATTTTACAAGTGTCATAGTGCCACTGTTTTGCGATTGCTCTACTAGGAGATGTGTTATTCTTAATTTCTGTCCTTGCAACATCCATCCGTAGTGGTTATTAAACTCTGCAAGAAGATCCTTGGTACTAGTGGAGAAGAAGGCTTGCTTATGAGTTTGCTAGAAGAAGTTGATGAAGATAATTGAATTTGGATGTAGAGATAATAGGGGTTGATGGGTTTTAGTGGCACCAAGGAGTGAAAATTAATCAGGCCAGTATGAGATACTAATGGGCTTTAGATTATAAAATAATAAGACCAAATATGACCTCTAAACATGCAAACTTATGAGGTTTAAGCTTAAAAAGGCCCTATGGTATGAGACTTCCCCTTCTCGACCATCTGAGGCGTTAGCCATTCTGCAGAGCATCAAAATTCGGTGTGGCTTTGCTTAAAATTGGTTATGAGACGCCATATTTAATGATGTATTTAAGTGGCCTCAGTATTTTAATATGCTAAATATTATATATATTCCCAAAACTAATTTTGGGTGAATGAGCTATTAATGCTCAAAGTTAGATTCTTAAATGAATCAAAAGAAAGATGAGAGATGATTTGTTGTTCACCCCACATTGAAAACACAACTTAATGTTGCTGCTAAGGTGAGATGTAGGTTAGGACCCTTAGTGCTCTCAATTTGGTGAGTAGGAAATACGTATGAACTGTGGGTTTGAAATAAAATCCACATGCAAAACCCCACGTGCAGTCAGTCAGTTAGGCCAGGCATGGTTACAGACTTGGACTTGCATGGATTGCACCAAATTTGATTTGGACCTATCATTATAATATATGTGCATGGCCTTGCAAGGCTGTCCTCTGCCTGTCTTTCTATTGTGCAAAACAACGCTGTACAACTATGCATTTCATGATGCCTTTGCTTTCATATGATCATATCTACACTAAAATATGTGCTCTGTATGTATCTACTATTTTCTTTGGTGTAGTTTATTTATTTACTTTGATGCTTCATACTGTAGGCTAGAAAATCTAGACCTGATGTTAATTCACGGTCCTGATGCATGGAAGGTATACAACCAAAAACTGGAGGCTTTTTTAGCCAGGTAGGTTTGCTGATTAAGAAACAAATGAGGATTCAGACTATGTTTGCAATTTTACCCTTTTATATTGAGTTTGGGACTGAATCTCAAATATTCTTTTTCAGAATGCAGTCAGAGGCTATTAAATTAAATGAGAAGATTGAAAGTGTAAATCGGGAAAGGAAATATCACCAGGTAAGCATTTGTATACTAGTACTAATTTATTTTTGGGGAAACTGTCGAATAGGCCCTTGTAGTACATAAAAAAGTCAATTAAGCCATCAAACTTCAAAACGCCCAATCAAGACCATGAACGTTAGAGAAACGGTCAAATTTATAATCTAGTTGGTTCTTGGTTGATTCCCGGTTAGTCGATCACTTGGTTACGTGGCAATCCAGGTGGCTTATTTCAAAGTTTTCCTTTTCTCCCTCTTCTTTGTTCTACACTTCTACCCATCCTTCCTCCCCTGCTTCTTTCTTCTTCCAGGCAAGCAGGACTACACATCCTTCTCCCACCCCATGCTTCTTGCTTTCAGTCAAGCAACACAGGCTTTTCTATAAAGAATTATTAATATTACTCTGTATTATATTTCATGAGACGGAATAAATTGTGCTGTCTGAACTGGTTGTACTCTCCGTCACTCGTAAGTGCTCTATTTTTCCGGTGACTCTGCAGCAGCCCCAAACCTCCCTCCAATGAGCCTATGCCTATCGCCTTCCGATTTTGCCTTTTATGCGGCTAACATCCAAGGTTCAGCCGCCATCGTAACTATCGAGTCTTGGGTCGAAGAAGAAGAACCAGCGTAGCCATTTGCGTACAGGGAGAGAGGTACAAGACCAGATTTATAATTTTCTGTCACAAAATTACTTCTTTTTGCCATGTGGGTTGCCACAAGAAAGCTCAAGACTTCTGCCGCCAAAGTCGCAACCTAATGAGCTCAATGACCTTGGTTGCGCAAGAAAGAAGAAGGGGGGGAAAGTGGGGTGGGGCAGAGGAAAAAAGGGAGAAAGAAGAGAAATAAGGAAAAAAGGGAGAAAGAAGAGAAATAAGAAAAGAAGAAAGAAAATGTTGCTCTGGGAGGATGGATTACCAGTGGAAGGAAAAAGAAGGGGTGGAAGAAAAAAAGGTGGAGAACTTGACAGGGTCGAAGAAGGAGAACAGGAGAATAAAAGAAAAAGAAAAAGAAAAGAAAAGAGAAAATGAAAAAAATAAAATAAAAAGTCACATAAGCAAGTGACCAACTAACCAGGAATCAACCTATTAGATTATAAATTTGACATTTTTCTAAAGTTTGTGGTCTTAGTTGGGTGTTTTTTAAGTTCAAGGGCTTAATTGACCTTCTGATGTATAATGAGGCCTTATTTGGCAGTTTTCCCTTTATTTTTCATTTAGTGGCTTAACAAGTTGGAGATGTGCTTCATTTGACTTTGACCAGCAAAATACTGCTTACGAGTTGAATGCCTTGTCCACACAATGGAATGAACTGTGTTTGAAAAACAGAGAAATTCAAGTTGCATGTTATCATGTTGAAAATGAGATTGAAGAGATGAAGAAGAATGCACTCGAGAGGTATTTGACCTTTTTCTTGGTTTATAAGGATTTTCAGATTGTATGTTTGCCCATATCATTTTTAATTATATACAGTACTGCTTGTATCGATATTTTTATATTTATTTATAGCTTGTATGTTTTACTAACAAAGTTTCCATCAGAGGTTGGGATGTGGAAGGTAAAATGGAGAATGGTTCATTAGTGCCTGCAGCAATGTAAGTTCTGGTATGTAAATCAAATTAATTCCATTTGTCAGATCTTTTTTCCCTTTTGTGTTAAATTTTAGGGCTTTCACTGTTTTTACATGACAGCGAATAGACAAAATAAATAACAGCAGCAATATATTGAAGTACTCAACTTCTCAAGATATGCATATTGGGGCAAAATGGTTTTTTGCTAATCAAAGTTGTGAACATGACCAACTACTATTAGAAGTTTGCTTTTCCAAATGGATAAATCTCTTTATATCCTCACTTGTGTAGTTTTATCCTTATTTTGGATATGGGCCTTGATGATATAAGGAGTAGAATTAACGGGAATTCGAGCACCTAGTAAATTTGCTGATAAATAGGAAAGTTTAAACAGGGGAAAACATGTCAAAAACTTGAAGCAGAAAATCAAGGCATGCCTCATGACTGCATGACACTAACTCTTTATTCTTTATCGACTAGATCCCCACATTTTGGTAATAGAATTTCTTATGCTTCTTTTCCCGATCTTTTAAATCTGCACCAGATTGTTGGCCTAGTTCATCAAGATTTTCGAGACAGCTGGAGTTTATGTCTAGAAGAGAGCAGAACAGACCAACAGCTGACTTTCATTTTGGTCGATGTAGCAAGAATTTCTTTGATGTCACTCTTGATTTGATTTCTAAGGTTGATGATATCTGAAAACATTTAGCCATTGACATTTGGTAGATATGTCCCAAGGATCACATTACTCCTATCACCACTTCCTTTTCCCCTCTCGTGAGTTAAAAGGTACAAGTATATCACCGGAATTGAGTTTAGTAATGGAATTTGGTAAACTGTATGTTTCGATCTGTAAGGGTCCACACTAGGCAGGAGCATGGATGAAATTGAGTTGTAGTTATAATCTTCTTGGTGCATTGTTATATTTATTTCAAAATATTCCAATGAATTTGCAAATGGAGTACTCCATGCTTCCAATGGAAGAAGAGCAGCCTTAACCTATTTTTATAAGTCTGTTAAATCAAAATTTTAAAGGATTGTATTCCATGCTTCGAATGGAAGAAGAGCAGCCTTGGCCCATTTTTATTAGTCTGTTAAATAAAATATTTGTCCAATTGTCCAGTACTCCAGTACCACCGCACCTTTTTTGTTTGTCATACCAATTTGTTTTACAATGTGAGAGATATATATTTTGTTCTATATTAATGATCTCACATTTTTGTATCAACATTTTCATCTCCGGATGTCACCTTCAAACAACTTTGGTGTATCAACTGCAACAATAACATTCAAAGTTTCAAACCATAGTCCCAAAACTACTAATATGAATTGACATATGAAATCAGAGTTAAAAATGATTAAAAATGAAAAAGATAAAATATGATAACAACAAAGATACAAAAAGATAAGACAAAAGTAATATAAAGATAACAATAAAAAGAAAAAAAATATGACAACAAATGAAATGAGATCAATCCTCCATCCAATCTCGCCTGTTCAAGATTTTTAGTAATAGCCATTACGTCATTTTAAGAAGTCTGCATTAGGGGTGGACCGGTTCGGGCCTGGGCCCGGCCGGGCCTTGGTTCATGAAGGGGGAGGCCCAGAACCGGCTCGGGTAACCCCGGGTCAGGGCCGGGCCGGGCCTTGGTTCTATTTTTTTTTTTGGCTTGTCCTAGTTAACCCCCAACCTTCCCCCTCACCCCCAAACCAACCCTAACCACCTCAAATGGCCCAAAATACCCAGCCCAACCCAAAAACTTAAAAAAAATTCAAAAAATAAAATACAAATAAATTGGCCCGGCCCGGGCCCGAACCGGCCGGGCCAGTTCACCTTTTGAAGGGTCCGAGCTCGAACCGCCATCCCACCGGGCCGGGTGGCCCGAACCGGGCAACCAACCGGTTCACCGGGCCGGTCCGGGCCCGCACAGTAGCGGGCCGGTCCGGTTCCGAACCGGTTGGCCCGGCCCGACTCCACTCCTAGTCTGCAATGTCCTTAACCCACTTTTCTATTGTTGGCTTGAACACAAAATAATTGTATACTGTATTGTTGATTAAAAGCGGGTCCTTTTTAGTTTGGATTTCACGAGCTAATTTATAGTTCATTTTTTCAAGTCAGGAGCAACATCTAGCCATCATTGTGACTTGAGGAATTAATTAATAATCATCGGAAATAAAGGTTATCAATCAGCATTGGTGTAATTTTTACTCGAGAGCCAACGGCTATTTATTGACACTTTTTTCATTCAGTTTTTGCAGCAAAATTTGCTAATAAAGGTGCAATATTATTATAATTACGGAGTATATAACTATACTTTGTGTTCACATTTAAAATTTACTCTGTATTATACTACCTCCGTTCTTAAATAAGTGCAACATGTGAAATTTTACCCTATTCACATGTTCTACTTTGACTACATTTTATTTATTGATGAATGAATATATTTTTTTGAAAAATATATTATTAAATTTGTCTCATTGTAATTTTTCAAAAACTATTTTTTTTTAAATTTTTTACTAATAGAGAATTATATATATTAATGGTCAAAGTTGTATCTCGGAAAGTGTGAAATTTTGACTGTTGCACTTATTTAAGAACGGAGAAAGTATTTATCAATAAAATTAAGAGTAAACTTGTCTTGCTAGTAATTACTGATGTCAAAGAATGTAAGAATAGACAATTCACATTATAAATGAACAAAATATGTGTACATAGACAAAACGGGCATGTGAGTGGCATGCATAAGGCTTTATGGGGAGGGCACTATGAGCTCGTTTGATAATACTCAAATTGACTATATTGTCAAACTTTACTGAAATTTATGAAGTTCCTGACTAAAGTGGCTGATTCTGCTGATTTATGAAAAAAATTATATCTTATTAACAAATTAAAAAAAAATACACGAAAAACAGCTAAAATAAACTTCTACAATAACTTCAGTCAATACAGCCAAAAAGTAACTTTAACTTTACCTTTTCTTATTATTACAAAATTCAATATGTGAAATCAAAATTTAAGTATTTGATAAAAATGACTTATAAGCTAAAAACAGGTTTATCAAACGGGCTATATATAGATCTGATGTGTAATGTTGTTTGTGTCACGCCCCGGACCTACCCGGACACGTCAACAACCCGCCGTACAGTACGAATAGTCAACCGTAGTCCAACTCATCCATACTATACAAGGCGTCTTGAATACCATTCACACATAGTACATCCATAAACAAACATAATGTAAAACATGCAATTAAAATAGCGGAAGCATTAATACAATTGTTCAAGCCACACTTGGCATAACTAGGCATACAAGCCCCCAAAGTAATTATTCAGAAAAATAGTATCCATGAGCATTAATGTAATTGTTTTTAAAACAGAACGGAAGAAGCATGACCATACCTTGTGCGGAATGCACTCTTCGGTGTGTCGTCCTCCTTTATTTTCAGTTGGTGGTACCCCGACCTCAAGTCGATCTTCGAAAACACCGTCGCTCCTCGGAGCTGATCAAACAAGTCATCAATCCTAGGCAAGGGATACCTATTCTTGATTGTGACCTTGTTCAGTTGACGATAATCAATGGACATTCGAAGTGTCCCATCTTTCTTTTTCACGAAAAGGACCGGTGCTCCCCACGGAGAGTGACTCGGCCTTATGAAACCGTTGTCCAATAGCTCTTGAAATTGAGTTTTCAACTCGTTAAGTTCAGCGGGTGCCATTCTGTATGGCGGTATAGAGATTGGTTTGGTGCCGGGTTCGACCTCGATCACGAACTCAATCTCCCTATCGGGTGGAAGTCCCGGCAAGTCTTTTGGGAAGACATCCGGATACTTGCACACAACTCTCACATTGTTGATGTCTACCTCTTCTTTGGTTTTGTCCACCACATAAGCTAGATATGCGTGGCATCCTTTTCTCATCATATTCCTCACTCTCACGGCGGATATGATACAACTGTTTGATTTGCCTCTATCTCCCTCGAAGCGTAAGGTCAAACCTTCACCGCTTTCGAGTTCGATAACCTTCGTATAACAATCAACCCTAGCATGATGCTTCTCTAGCCAATCCATCCCGAGGATCGCGTCGAACTCGATCATGCTCAGCGGTACGAAGTCACACGTCAAGTTCTGTCCCTCCACCTCCACCTCACACGATGGATAGTGGCTATCCCTTTCAATATCATCCCCTAGAGTCGTGGATACCAATAGGGTTTGAGTCATCGGTACAAGTGGTCCATTGAATCCGCTCGCGAACGCCTCACTCACAAATGATCGTTGCGCCCCGGTATCAATCAGGATCCTTGCGTCTCTCCCGTTTATCTTTAGTGTTCCTACATTCATAAGTAATGTAAGACACACTATCTAATCAATAGGCTTGTTTCTTAAGTCGTAGAGTATGTTGGTCGTGTTTCGGGTGGAGTCCGTTCGATACACTTCCGAAATTTCCCGGTTTCTAGCCTTTAGGACCGTTCTAGGACTAAACCAGGTGAAAGTCGGCCGCTTTTCACGAAAGCCGGCCGGTTTTCGTCTGCGATAAAAATTCCTTGTATAAAATCACGAAAGCCGGGCGGCTTCCACGAAAGCCGTCCGGTTTTCGTCGCCGCAGTTTTTATTCATGGAATGGGTTTCGAAGCCGACCGGTTTCTACGAAACCCGGACGGGTTTCAGCAGCGCAGGAATCCCCAGGCCCAACGAAAGCCGGGCGGCTTTCGCCAAAGCCGGGCGGCTTTCAGCTGCGAGAAATTTCCCCAGGTCAGGCATTTATGAAAGCCGGCCGGTCTTTACAAAAGCCGGCCGGTTTTTTGGTTGCTAGGATTTTCCTGATTAAATGTTGACGAAAGCCGGGCGGTTTTTGGTGGAAACCGGCTGGCATTCTCCGCCGCAGTATTTTCCCAATAAATCAAGACGAAAGCCGGGCGGCTTTCGTCAAATGCCGGGCGGCATTTACCCAGGGCGGGGATTTTTCCTCCCCTTTCCCCTACAATCCCGACCAAACCATCGGGGTTACAAATTTTGCACATTACAAACACTCCTATTGCATACAATGGAGTTAATAACATGAGTTTAAGATTTTACCCGCCACGGAGTCCGGGTTAGCACGTGTGTCCGCCACCGTCATCGCATAGACCCTAGCCTGGGTCTTGCCTTGGTTCACGGATGGCGCATTACTTGTACTTGGCCCTCCGTGCGTCGTGCTCGCGTGAAGTGCCCCTGCTCGGTTCCTACTTGCCGTGGTCCCGCTGCTAGGTCCTGCACCCATGGCTCGCCCAAGTTGTGGGCAGTTTGATCTCAAGTGCCCCGTCTCCCCGCATTGGTAGCACCTAGGGGGATCGCGGCACTTGCCCGCGTGGTTCCTCTTGCAGTTGGTGTACCTGTTAATGCCCGAGCCTTGCGACCTCGAGCCTTGCCCTCCTGGGCCTTGATTTCCCCTAGATGGTGGTGCGGGCGTTCTGAAAGACCCACCTCCCTCGTGGTTCCCCTTATTGCTAGAACCTTGGGGGCCGGTGTTCTCCCATTTCCTCTTCTTGGCCTCCTCGACGTTTTTCAGCTTTCTTTCTTCCCATTCCTTCTCCCCTTTCAGGCCTTGCTCCACCACTTGACTAAACGTCATGTTAGGCAATTGTGTTGCCCGTTCACGCACGTCTAAGTCTAAAGCATCCCAAAAGTGATTCACCATCCGGTTCTCATCACAAGCATACTCCGATATAAACTCCGCGAGCTCCCTGAACTTGTGCTCAAGTTGCCTCACGGTATACTTGCCTCCTTGGGTCAAGTTGGTGTATTCTCTCCTCTTCAAGTTCACCTCGAAGTCGGAGTAGTATTGGTTGAAGAATTCCTGTCGGAAATTCTCCCAAGTTACGGCCTCACCGTACTTCCCCTTGACACCGTCCCACCATGTGGACGCCATCCCCTCTAGCAACCTTGTTGCTACTCTCATCTTCA